TTGTATTTTTGATTTAACTTTATATCACGTGAATAAGATTTGTTTAAAAAATGTTTTCTGGCATAATAATAACAGAGAATAAAAAATATTTGTTATGTTTTGTGTATCACAGATATATATCAGATTTTATAAAAAGAAATTTTAGTGTATAAACCGCCGTGTACACCCGTGAATATTGTGAAATGAACTGTGGTTCCCAAGCAAAAACGACTCAAAAATTGGGTCGTTTTTGCTTGAATCGCACATGAACATCATAAAATGATGTGTGGACAAGCGTGAAAAATATATTTCACTTGTGACAACACGTGAACTGTTCACGGAAACGTTTTGCGTCTTATTTTTCGCACGTGGTTACTAGTGAAAATCGTAAAATGGTGTGTGGACACATGTGAAAACAAATTCTCGATTGTGAACGCGTATGAAGTTATAGGAAGTTCACACGTGAACACGCATTTAATGTTGCAACTGCACGACCCTAATGTTGTGAAACTTCGACAAAATTTCCCCGTAGGTAACATCGGATAAAAGTGGTAAAACGTATGAACAAATCCTCCTTGTTGCCTCTTTTACTATTCACAAAGTTTATGGAAATATATTCAAGCATGTGACTTAATATCATATTTAAAAGTTGGTGATTCCAAATGTACAGAAAGTTCCATTAGTTGGTTTCGTGGTGCAATTGGCTTAGCATTGATACCATTGGATATTGTTCCAAAAACATGGACTGATAGTATGTCAGAATATCCACCAGATGATCTACTAGCCACAACATTTACTGAATGTTTAACAGACACGTACACGGTGGACAATTGTGACTAGGCACGTGAACATTTGCTCTAAAAGCAGTCCAGAAGCCTATAAACACTCTTTTTATAGGTTTTCAGCTGCGCTCTTCTCAATGATGTGCTCCATAAAACTCAAACTGCCTTCATCTGGGTTTTCTAGAAAATTACGGCCTTAAATGTAGAAAACAATGTTCATAAATTGGTGAAGTTAATTGTTTTTCGAACATGAACATCTAATATACATACATAAAAACGTGTTACAAACCTTCCTACTCGGTTTTCTGCAAACTCAGATCTCTAGAAAACTTGATTATGTTAATAAATGGGAAATAGTAACAGCATAGGTTAACCGTATAGGTTTGCGAAAATGCTCTTTTCAACGTTGTGACACAAAGAATTTCCAGACACTTCATCAGTGCTTTCCTTTGGCTGTTGTGTTGTTATAAGTCAAGTCACTAATTTTTTCTTCATAATACTTCAAATGCACATCATCTGATGTACGTCGGTGCGCTGATTCCAAATATATCATTATTTTAAATAAAAGTGCTGCTAGACCGAAAAAAATAGATTTTACGTCAGAAATCAAGGGTTTTTTGTAAAAAGCTGCAACTCGCCTCAGAAACATTTACCATCATCTGTAAAGGGAAAGAAATAAGAACTCGAAAAATAGTTTTTATTAGTAAAAAGAAAAAATTTTGTGCATCAGAAAGAGTATTGGAAACACGAAGACAGTTATTGAACCCAGCTGTTGTTAACGATATATTATTGATAAAAAATTTCAGAGATGTGCGATCTTTCGTTGTTGTTTTTGCTGCATAAATAAAGGAAAAGAAAAGAATTTACTTTATTAGGGAAAATTTTCGAACTTGATTACTTATAAAGATGTTGATTGATTTTTTATCATTTTGTTGTGTACAGATCTAAAGAAACATTAAATCCTGTTAGAGCCAGTAATCGAAACAAGCGATATTTGAGAAAAGCAGCCATAATTGACGAGTAAGGTAACTGTTTATTCTTTATCAGATAACATACTCGACTTGGCGACCGAAACGTCGAGTATGTTATGAGTCTATGCAGACAATTTCAGTAACAACTAGTGCAATTAAGCGTACAAAGAAGTCCGAATCATTCTGATCTCAATTATGGTCCCCTATTTGTGTAGAAAACTTCAACGGCAAGAGTTAATGAATGTTCTATTGTTTAACATTCGGATTTCTTGACTTCTCCTAATTTTGTCCAAGTAAATTATCAATTAAAATGTAAACAAGGAGAAGAGAATGGTATTTATCACTCATACGGTGGTGATAAATAGATAAATGAAAAATAGCAGTCGTAGCCAATTGTAGTACCAGACGTAGTAACAAAAAATTTTGTCTTGAATTTAAAAGTATTATTAGGATTAACGGGTAATTATTTTTAGATTTTTGATAAAAGTGTTTGTATTAAGGCGCCGCTAATTCAAAAATCAAGTGGAAAAGCTTTTGAATTCTCAAACACATATTCTGATTCATCAGACGCTGCTGATCACGAATCTTACCTTATTTTTCCGATTTGACTGAGTTTTCATGCA